ATTATTGTCCAACATGCTCTACCAATTGGAAGATTCTGCACAATGGTTGCAACAATGAAATCCAACATACAAATGATTATAAAGATGACCTAAAACTAGGGTAAGAGTTTGAGTAAGAGATGACCGAATGACAATGAAAGCTAACCAGTGAAACCTGTTATTTCTTTTATCACTGCATTTTCTGTCTGTGATCCTTGCACATGGATTCTTCTTTGCTGGGATTCCTAAAGGGCTAAAATAATACTCTTTCTCTAACCCAAAGGGGCATAAAATAGAGTAATGTGGGCCTCCACTATAATATTTGGGGATTATCATTTATCAAAATAATATTTAGTGGTATTCTGAAATTTGGTGAACTTTGTTCTTTATCCACCTTGCAGTATTATGTAAGCCTTACAGGTACAGATGTGGTTTTGCAGGATCTGTAACTTTTATAATGTAGACCCTTCCTTTTAAGAAAGTTAGGTTGCAGATATAAATTTCTGACTTTTTCGTCTATGACTCTGGAAAAGGCTCGGGTTAATCCTTTCAATTGGTTTTAAGTAGATTTCAACAGGGAAGATCTGACGTATAAGGTTTCCGAGGCTGTACGTTTTTACAGAAGCAAATGCCACATCTTTCTTCCACAGAGCAGCTGGTGGGTTTGAGTCTTCCGGATGATTACTGAGCCCTTTAAACTCTACACCACCAGGGCTCCTTGTATGAGACATTTTATCTATTCATTTACTAGTTATGAACATTTGGGTTGCTTCTGCATTTTGAGTTATGCTGTCATGAATATTTTTTGTTCAGAAGCCCTACTATTTTTCATTTTAAAATTAAAAATATTTAAAACATTTAGGAAGTAAAAACCCACAATTTCTTAGAGGTTGTCTGCCTGGATTTTTGTTAAGTGCTGTTGAGTACAACTCAGTGACTACCAACAATAGATTTGAATTCCATCCAATCCTGTGCTATCCTTCCACTCTGTGACACACTTGAACCCATTGCTGTGGTTACCGTGTCAATCTATCTCTTTCTGTTTTTCTGACCTTCTGCCTTCCCAAGCATTATATCCCTTTCCAAGAAATAGAGCCTTGGAAACAACATGCCCAAAGTATGTGAGACACAGCTTCACCATCCTTGCATCTAAGGAGCACCCTGGCTGCACTTTCTCCAAGTGTTTATTCTTTTGGAAGTCCATGGGACACTCTTCTGCAACACAACCACTTAAAACATTCAATTTTTCTTCTGTTATTTTTTTCTCACTGTCAAGCTCTCAGATGCATAGCCAGTGATTAAAAATATCATGACTTCAATTAGATACAGTTTTATCCTTAAACTGACATCATTGCACCTTGGTAATTTGGAGAGTTTCCTGACAGCATCTTTTATTTTATTTTATTTATTTATTTTTTTTACTGCTGGCACGAAGGGTGTTGATTTTGAATCCAAATAAAATTAAATTATTGACAATTTCAATCTTTTCTTTATTATCATGGAATTGATATCAGCAACTGGTGAGGATTTTTGTCTTCTTGATGATGAGATATAATAATTTATGTTAGCTAGTGCCTTTAATCGTCCTAATTTTTAGCAAGCAAGGTTGTGTCATCTGCATAACATAGAGTGTTGATAAGTCTTCCTCTGATCAATCCTGGTGTCACATTCCTCTTTATAGAGTCCAGCTTCTCAAATTATTTGCTCAACATACATATAACATAGTTATAAAGGATACAACCCTGACATTCACATTTCTTGATATTAAACTGTGCCATGCAATGTTCCCTTGCTCTGTTCACACAACAGTTTCTTGGTCTAGGTCTAGATTTCATATGAGTATAATTAAGTGTTCTGGTATCCTCATACTTCTTAATTTATCCATAATTTGGTATGATCCACACAGTCAATACCATTTCATAGTCAATAAAACACAAACAGACACTCTTCTGGTATTCTCTGCTTTCAGCTAGGATTCGTCTGACATCAGCAGTGATATCCGTGGTGTCATGACAACTTCTAAACCCAGCTTGAACGTCTGGATGTTCTCTGTCAATATACTATTTCAGTAATTTGGGGATGATCGTCTGCAGTATTTTGCTTGCATGTGATATTAATGATATTGTTCTATAACATCCACATTCTGTTTGGGCACCTTTCTTAGGAATGAAAATAAATATAGATTTCTTCAATCAGTTGGCCAGGCAGCTCTTTTCCAAATTTCCTGGCTCAGCTTGGTGAACATATCCAGGCCACATCTGTTGGTTAGTTGAAACATGTCAGTTGGTATCCCATCAATTCCTAGGGCCTTGGTTTTTTGGCAAATGTCTCCAGTATAGCTCACTCAGATGTTGTCTTTCTCATTTCCACTGACTCCTTATCATATATTGATTTCTGAGATATTTAAGTGTTGACTAATTCTTTTTGCTGTAGTGACTGTTTATTCCTACCATTTTGTTTTAATGTTTCTTGGATCGTTTGGGAACACTGATGAGCCAGGGCCTCTATCTGAATAATAACAATAATCTGGGACAGCCAGAGCTGATCTAGTAACTAAAAATAGGGGACAAAGGAATGCTTGTCACAGAAAAAAGAGACATAAATGGAAATATTTGGAATATCAAATAAATGTACTCAATCAAGAGCAGAGGACACAACATTTTCTGTTCTGCTGCAATACATACCTCTGTAAGCAAATTTGTTTTTATGTGATTAGTAAATACAAATATGATGCCAGCACAATGTATCATTTCTGATTATTCTCCATGATCAATTTATATGCTAAGGAGGATAGAAGGAGAATTGATGCCTTTGAGCTGTGGTGCTGGAGAAGAGTATTGAGGGTACCATGGACTACTAGGAAAACAAGCAGATTCATCCTCGAAAAGGTCTGGTCTGCTCCTTGGATGCAAGGATTCTAAGGCTCCATCTAACATACTTTGGACATGTTGCAAGGAGGGACAGGTCCTTGGAGAGGGACATTATACTTGGTAGGGTGGAGGGACAGCGCAGAAGGGGAAGGGCCCCTATGAGGTGGATTGATTCAGTGATTGGGGTAATTGGGATGGGAGTGTCAGAAACAGTGTGATTGGCACAGGACAGAGCAGAGTTTAGGGATGTTGTACATAGGGTTGCTATGAGTCGCAAGTGACTCTACGGCACATAACAACAACAACAACAATTTGTAGTTAGGACATTATGCCCAAAAGGTGGAGGGTAAGCAAAAGAGAGGAAGACCCTCAACAAGATGGAGTGACATAGTGACCGCAGCAATGGGCTCAAGTATGCCATAGATGAAGAGGACGGCATCAGATAGGACAAAATTCAGACCTGTTGTTGATAGGGTAGCTTATGTGTTGCGCTCAACTTGATAGCACCCTTATAATACAACAATAACAGCAAAATTTGCAGCAAGCCAAAACCTATGAGGGACCTTAGTGCTTGCTCTAGTGATTTCAAGAATTTCTAAACTTTTCAATATTAAACGACCTAATGAAAGTGAAAGTGCAGATAAAAAGACTGTGAAGATATGGTCCTATCCTATGTTAGTGCTTTGTTTTGGATTTTTTTAATATAGAAAATAGTATCTTTTTAAATTTTGATGAAATGTGTCTTACTAGAGGGATCTTTCTGGTGGTCTAGTTCATAGAAAGCTGTGCTCATAACCCAAAGTCTGGCAGTTTGACTCCATTAGCAGCCCTCTGGGAGAACAATGGCCCATCTTCTTCCATGTAATTCACAGCCTGTGAAATCTACTTAAGCGTCAGCTGGGTATTGGTTTTGACTTCATGGCAATTATTAAGTTTTCTGAGTCTTATTGGGAATTAAAGCCCTCATGGACCTATATCACTAGAAGGGTGAAACACAAATACCAATGCTTAAGTATTTATTTACTATAAATAAAATGCTTATGTATCTATCTAATGATGTGAGGAATAAATGAATGTGAAGATTGAACTACACTAGCATTTTTTTAATAAAATTCTTGTTCTTTGTGATAGGACTCTGGTTGTACAACTATATTTATCTTTATTGCTTTTCCCCCATTCCAATTTATAACACAATTAATTGTAAGAGCAAGTGGGTTCTCAGGAACCCCAAAATTGAGATATAATAGAAATTTCTGTACTGGATATTCAGTTACATTTTCTCAGTTTATTTTGTTTGCTGTTGTTACGTATTGTCAAGTCAAAACTGACTCAGAGCTGACACTCCAGCAGGTATTCAGAGGAAGTAAATCATTCGCACAGAAAGAGATTGCCCTTCTTTTTCCCACAGAGCAGCTGGTAGATTCAAACCTCGTACCTTTAGTTTGACAGCGCGGCTCTTTATCACTGGGTCACCACACACTCATTACTATGTTTACATAAGTAAATATATGTCTGTATATGTCTGTATACATACACACCCTTTTACCTGTTTCCCCTCTACTTGACTTGATATACACTTCTGACTGATTTTGTAATTCAGTAGGCATGATGTGACATAATTTATTGATAAAAAATTTGCTCATTATCTTTTGCTGGATTTCATAATTAGTAATATAGGAATAAAATTATGTAATGGTTGAGAAGAAAAGTTTTACCTTCCTCCCAGAATAAAAATTGACTATACTCATAGAAATAATGGAGCCATCTAGAAGGAGAAAATCCACATGACAATGTGATAACATATTTTTTACCACACTTGGTTACATCTTGTTTCCCCACAAAAAAGCTTTACATTTTCATAACAAATAAATCCCTAAAAAATAATTGCCCAAATAAAATTCCATTTTACTCAAATAAGTCAGGATAGGACACAAAAAAAAAAAGAAAGAAAGAAAGATGCTCAGGACAGTCTAGAATCTCCTCCCTGTGCGGGAAGCATGCACAGACACATTTGCCATATCTAGAAACTGTATTTCCTGTATGAGGGCAGAAGTATCACTCTACTTTGCACCTGTCCATAGTCTCTCAAGCACAGGAAACAGTGTTAAGTTCTAGTTTTGAGATAGAGCACAGGACATTTCATTTAGAAACATGCTGTTTCTCAACCTGTTGAGGGCTGTCTTTGCCTCCATCTGCCTTGGTAAGCATGCCACCAACACAGGACCCAGGTTCCTTCAGCCCCCATGTTTGTGGGGGGAGGTAGTTTGTTATTGTCTCATGGGGTTTAGTAGAGTGGAGCAATGGGCAGAGGGAGCAGAGTCCTGAGTTCTAATCCAGTTTGTTCCTTACATTCACATAATGACAAATAAGTGATTACTCTATTTCTTTTTGTTTCTTACAGGGTCCAGCATGGCCCAGAGTGTAACTCAAGACCAGTCAGCAATTTCTGTAGTGGAGAGGGAGGCTGTGACCTTGAACTGTATATATAAAACCCAGAATACTGACTATGCTTTACTCTGGTACAAACAACGACCAACTAGGGAAATGATTTTCCTTATTCGTCAAGAGGCTTATAATGAGCAGAGTGCAATGAAAGGTCGATATTTCCTGGACTTCCAGAAAGCAACCAAATCCATCAACCTCACCATCACAGCTTTGCAGCTTGAGGACTCAGCAGTGTACTTCTGTGCTCTGAGATTTACACAGTGAGATAGGTCAACCTAGGAGCCCTACAGAAACCCCCACATGAAGCAGACCCCTGGGGAAAGTCTTAAGTAGAAAAAGGCAGGGGTTGGCTCAGCACAGGTGGGGAAACCTCAGTTCATTTCAGGCAGACCTACCAGTAAGTATAAGGCAGAACACTCATTAAATGTATACCGCCGTCTCTTCATTAGAGTAGTTTGAGATAAGATATTTAGTGCATGGAAAAAAGAAAAACAACAGGAACAGAATATAATAAGCTTCTGTTGGTTTTGTTGAGGCAGGAAATGATCTAATTATCTTTGAAGCTAATGTGTGAATCCACTGATGAGTTGTTAAAATTTTAGACTCATCCATTTATTTATGTATTCATTATTATACAGCATGGTTTGATGAACTTGTAATATAAATTGCTTTTTGTTGATTTTTTTTTACAAAAAATGAGACCATTATTCAATGAAGTAGAAGAAGTGATTTAATTTTGATATAATTTTCATAATCATGCTAATAACTTCTTATTTAGACGATTAGCTTTTGAAATGTTCCTCACATTACTCTATCTCTATCCCCTTGACTTCCCTCTCTTTGTGACATGATCAGGGTTTTAGAGAAGTAATAAGATATATAAAGAGCCTTCATAGTGTTGTGGGTAAAAGCACTCAGCTATTAATCAAAGCATTGGCAGTTTGAACCCACCAGTTGCTCTGTGGGAGAATGAGGAGATGAACTGCTTCTGTAAAGATTATAGCCTTGGAGATCCTACTCTGTTCTCTGGCAGGTTTGCTATGAGTTAGAATCAGCTCAATGAAAATGTATTTGAGTTTTGAGGTTGGACGCACTGTTTTCATGTAGAGACTATTCATAGAGGTCTAGAAAAGGTGGGGCAGTTTATGCTAAGCTGTCTAGTATCTTTGCCTTCACCCTTTCTTTCCTTCTGTCCTCTTCCTTGTTAGAAGCAAAAAAGCAACCAGGGCCAAAATGACAGTCACTGTAACCCTCCCCCCCATCACCTATCTGGTCCTGTTCAGTGAATATATTTTTTCTCAGATGTCATAGCAGGTGCTGGGTCAAGGACATTACAAACTTCTGAATTAGTTTTCAACAGTTATTACCATTTATAACAAAGACATCTATAAAAATTGTAAGATATAACAAAACTACACCATCTAGGGTAGAGGCCAAAATTTCTGTTATAAGCATGTAATGACTTTGATACATTTTCATGTTTAAAATTATTCTGATTGACCCTTCATCCCACCATGTGAATTAAACTGAAAGGAGAAATTTAGATGAGTTACTGGCACAAAAACCAAATCTGAACTTTATATGTCATGAAACTGTATGATTTTCCCGCTCATAAATTTGTGCATCACAGCTATATACTTCTAATTAAGAAACATAAATATAATTTGGAAAGTTCTAGTGGTCAGAAACTGTGCTGCAATCCCAAAGCAAATGGTTAAAATCCAAAAGCTGCTCTGTGAGAGAAGATTGGTCAAGCTCCTTCTGTGGGATTTACTGCCTCTGAAAACTCACTGGGAGATTTTCAATTGGTTACAATTTAATGGTTACAGAAAATCAGCAATCAGAACAGGAAGTATAATTTATTTGTTAGGCATCAGGGAAATATTAGGTATCCAGATAGATATGATTCCTGCCTTTATGAAGTGGGCTAGAGTGGAATCTGTTGTTGTCGTGTACCATCGAGGAGGAATAGTCCTTTGACGACCCTTTAGTGGTTGTTCAGAGGTTATAAATCAAGCGGGAGGAGACTGCCGATTTTCTCCCACGGTGCAGGGGGTGGATTTTCCCATTTTTCTTTCATGGAGCAGCTGGCAGATTTGAATGACGTATATTTGCACTGGGAGTGGAATTCCTTAAAACTGAAGTCACTAGAATCCTGAAAGCTGTCAGTAGCTAAAATAATTGAAAAACAAATTCAAGCCTCGAGTTGCAATTCTGAGAGATACTATGGGCAAAATATTGACTAACCCACGAAGCATCAAAAGAAGATGGAGAGAATGCACAGAATCACTGTACCAAAAAGAATTGACTAACACGGAAATATTTCAGGAAGTACCATATGATCAAGAGCTGATAATAACAGAAGTTCAACCTGCACTGAAGACACTGGCAAAAAATAAGACCAAAGGAATCAATGGAACACCAATTGACATATTTCAACTAACAGATACACCCCTGGATGTGCTCACTAGTTTATGCCAGGAAATTTTCAAGATAGACACCTGGCTTGAAGAGACCCACATTTGGTCTTATTCTCAAGGAAGGTGATCCAATATATGTGGGAATTATAAGATGATATCATTACTATCACACGCAAGCAAAATACTGTTATAGAACATTTAAAAAATGAGCAAAACAGTGCATAGACAGAAAACTTTCAGAAGTGCAGGCTAGCGTTAGAAGAAACCATGATGCCAGGGGTATCATTGCTGATGTCACAAGGATTCTAGCTGAAAACAAACAAAAAATACCAGAATATCTATTTGTGTTTTATTGACTGTGCAAAGGCAGTTGACTGTGTGGATCACAAGAAGTTATGGTTAACATTGAAAAGAACATGAAACCTAGATAACGTAATTGTGCTCATATAAAACCTATACCTACACCAAGAGGCTGTTGTATGAATAGAGGAAAAGACTATGACATGATTTAAAATTAAGAAATGAGTGTGTTAGGGTTGTATCCTCTCTATATATCTATACAATTTGTATGTGGATCTAATTATTTGAGAAACTGGACTCTGAAGAAGAATGTGACATCAGGGTCAGAGGAAGACTTACCGATAATCTGTGTTATGTAGATGACACAACCTTGCTTGCTGACAGTGAGGAGGACTTGAAGTGTTTGTCACAGAAGATCAAAGAATATTGCCTTCAATATGGATTTCTCTTAATGTAAAAAAAAAACCAACACAAAAACAAACAAAAAAAAAAACACCACCCAAAAACAACACACACACACACACACACACACACACACACACCCAATCCCAAATTTCTCACCAGTGGACAAATAGGCAATATCTTGATAGATGGAGAAAAGATTCCAACTGTCAACAAGTTGATCGTACTTGGGTCAATAGTGAACATCCTTGGTACCAGTAGTCTGACGATCAGGAGACATATTGCACTGGGAAGTCTACTGTCAGAGACCTCTTCAAATTATTGAGGAACAATGATGTTAGTTTGAGGACTAAGGTACACTTATTTCATGTCATGGTCTTTTCAATTACTTGCTGTGCACCTGAAAGCTAGACAATGAATAAAGATGACAGAAGAATTGATGCCTTTGATCTGTGGTGTTGGAGAAGAGTACTGAACATCCCACAGACTGCCAAAAGAACAAACAGATATTTGTTGAATAAGGTGCAGCCAGACTGACCCTTGGAGACAAAGGTGGTGAAGCTTCTTCTCACATACTTTGGGCATGTTACTAGAAGAATCTATTCCTTGGAGAGTGACGTCATACTTGGAAAAATAGAGTCAGCATAAGAAGGGAAGACCCTCAACTAGATGGATTGGTACAGTGACTGTAGCAATGGGCTTGAGTATGTCAGAGATTGTGAAGATAACACAGGATAGGACAGGCTTCCGATTTTTTGTTCATAGGCTCACTATGAGTCATACTCTAGTAGATAGCATCTGACAACAACAGCAAGTCACCAGAGCTCCCATGCTATATTAGAGTGAAATCTAGCATGCAATAAAAAGCAGAAAGAACAATAAACAGATGTTCCAGAGTTTATTATACAAACTATATTTCTTTGTATTATTATAATTTGAATCAAGTTTTCAAATTGGTTTCCCAATGTGAAACACAAACCCAATTAATTGGTTTTCCAGTCAACCATGTATTCACTTTTTGGATTGCAATCCTCACAATATGACCACTCTTCCTATTTCCTCTTTGTAATTATCATATCCATTAATTCTTTTTTTTATTGTACCCCTTTCCTTCAGAGATTTATCCTCAGGAAAATACTGCTCTTTGGACCTTGCCTGATTCATTATTCTAAGAAATGATTGCTTTCTTCATGTTATTGTTCATTCTAGAGACCTACCTATTGTTTGGCTACAAATTGAGCCACAGGGGGTAAGTTTTGTTCCAGGTTCAATGGTAACTAAGAGCTATCTATGGTCTCTTAGCTTCCCTGGTCTCTATTGTTCCAACAAACACAAATTTTTCATATTCTTAATTTTGTTTCACTTTCCCCCACTTTCTATCTTGGATCTTTTACTGTGATCCCTTTTAGAGTTCTCGGAACCTCTGTTTCCTCCTCTATCAAATGAAGAGCTTTAGTTATGCTGCTGCTATTGAACAGTCTTCCACTATCATCAAAGAGCATTTGACGCGGTTTCCTCTTTGAGTCCCTAACACTGAGAGGTTTTCTCTCTTGATTTGGTAAATCTGGTAGTTGTCATGAAATTTCCCTTCATAGTCTTCTTACTACACATAATGGTGAAATAGTAATGACAAAAAGCCAGAGGAAACATGGGGTGGACAGAAGAATTTAGGAAAGAAACCATTTTAACAAAAAGAAGCTAGAATTCCATATAGTTATGAATGACAGAAAGAGAGAGGGAGCTCAGGTAGCCTAGTGGCAAGAGTATGCAATCCCAAAGGCACGAGGGTTCGAGGCCACCAGCTGCTCCATGGGAGAAAGATGGGCAATCTCCTCCTGTGTGATTTACTGCCTCTGAAAACCTGCTGGAGGGTCAGCTATGGATTGGTTCCAAGTCTACAGTACACAACAACAATTTGAGAGAAAGAGAGAGAATTAATTTAATTTACTCAGGTCGTTGGAATATACTCTATTTTTTTTTATAATAAATTCCAACTATTCCTGTCCTATCTTGTACCATATAATTTTAATTTAGATTTGATGTATAAAGCACATTTCCTTTTCCCCATTTGGGAGAATCAGGAACTCTAACTGATGTCCATTAGGCAGGTTTGAGGCCCTTCTGAGTTTTGACTACCTGGCT